GTGTGTGTGTGTGTGTGTGTGCGTGTGCGTGTGTGTGTGTGTGTGTGTGTGTTTGTGCTTGTTAATAAAAGCTGTATGGTGCATATATGTGTATGTAAATAGACTTTAAAAAATTAGTGCAATGAACTGATTATTGTCATCTACTAAAAAACATACTGAAGCTGAAAACTGGGTGTTCTATAAATACTGCGCTTATACTAGTTGCAATAGTAACCAAGGTGATCGAGAGCCGGACATCGTAGATGATATATATTTATGCTGGTCGTATTCGGGAATTGATTTGTGTAAGGATTGTTCTAACTGGAAAAAAGAATGTTTCTCCACCTTCAAAACGAACCGAAAAATGCCCTTAATAGGGAAGCTCAAGGCTTTTTGTCTCACCTGTCGGAGCAGAACCAAGTCAACCCAAAGTAGTCGAAGAAGCGGCCGTGACCGATGATATCGAGATGGACTTAGGCTATATATGTAGCTGATGCTTGTAAATAGTTGGCCGAATGCAGTTCAGCCGGGGCTGTTTTTGCGACCACGACATACAAATATCACCAGCAGAAGAGTAACGAATGGCTTAAAACAGAAACTCTTATCAGCTTCTTGCCTTTGACGTTATATTTCACATAAACTCCACACAAATAGTTTCTTATTGGACCCGGCGATACATAAGGATTCTACAGAATTAAGGTTCGAGCAACTGACCTAATATGGCCTACTTAGTATATATAATAAATATTTAGTTCCTAAAATAAGAAAAACATATGAGATATTGTTAATTCCTAGCCGAGTCAAGTAAACTATCCTAAGAAAGATAGGGCTGTTTTTTTTTCGAAGGAAGACTTTACCGCATTATGCGTTTCCAATTTTATCGGCATCGTGAATTGGATAACCTTAGATACAGGTCCTATTATAGCCTTATCTATTTATCTAGTTGTTCGTAAGCCGGTTTTACTAATAGACGGCGCGTGAGCCTGATGTGCTGTCGCACCGTTATTTGTGTCTGGGTCGATTCGAGTTAGCCGTGACCTAATGTAATAAACGTGACGGTGAGTCCGCTACACTGAACGCCCGAATTAGAGAGAACGTTTCCAGTGACCACCGTCAGGGGGCGCACTGGATCCACCTTCTGCATTGCGATGGAAGCAAAAAGTCAGCGCGTGGTTTCTACGTTCTGAAAGCAAGAACAATAGGGCAGCATCTGAGATTCGTCCGATATGACAGCGCGAATAGTTTGGAACAAAACAAAGCAAAGGGTCAGAGATTTGATTGACACGATATCGGCGCGGCGGCGTAGCGCGCACGTTAAAGATTGGTCCTTAATAATAATAATTAGAAAAAACGCCGACAACGACGATGGTGGTGACTTGTAATGGATGCTTCCGGACCCTCTGACGCGCCTGTTTAATGCTAATGGAACATATGGTAATTTTAGTGGTAATTGGCCGTCTCAACGTCATTCCGTTCTTATCGAAAGTGTAAGAAATCAGGGAAGTGATTATACAACATTGTTATGTCTGTGCATGATGTATGCTTATTAAAAGTTGCAGCTTACACGAACGGCAAGTTAAGTTACATCTAATATAGACACAAATGCAAACAGGCTGTCAAAATGGCGAAAATTGAAAGTAGAAGTTCCACTGGGGAGCGGATGGGCCAGCGCTATCCGTGGCAGGAGCAGATCAGTTTCCGGTTTTGCCACTCCTGATTATAGTTACAGCAAGATATTTTTTTACAGCGACTGATTGCGTCTGCGGTTTCTGCCAAATGCAGTGTCTAATTCACTCGATCCTAGTACGGAGTGATGCCCTGCTTTTGCAGAGTTATCTCATCACACTGTGGCTCGTGAGGTAAGCTTAGCAAGGGCATAATTCTCGCAAGAGAGGACCACACCACATTCTCTATTGGAATACATACACATATATGCACCATACAGCTTTTATTAACAAGCACAAACACACACACACACACATGAACAGCTAAACTAGCAGAGCTAGAGAATAGTAGTGAAGCTAAACCTATCGCTAACCCGGCATAATCGAACAAAGTTTTTTATTACTATCAAAAACCTGGACAATCCTACCCAATAGTTGCACTTAATCGGTAAGTTAGTGTTACCAATCAGCGGCGTCTGTGTTAGCTGCATGATTACTAACATAGTTTATACACCATATGCATTGGTGTATATATATATTGACATATGCCGTGCGGAAGATAGTGGAACGGCATTGCAACAAGCGAATTTGTAGCTTGTCTGAACGCACGCAGATGCCTCATACACGTATAGATAGATATTCCTTTGTTCTCTATTTGAGCTATGGAAATATACAATATGAATGATGAAAAGCATGTGTGTTACCTGCGATGTCTTTCAGAAAAGCAGGAGTAAAGAAAGTGTGGAAAAGCGAAGAGCGAACGAAACGACGAAGTTACCCTGTTTTTAACACCATGTTATTGTTAGCGCCATTGTTGTTCTTTTTATAGATAATTTTAGTTGGCCCCGTCGAGCCTCTGCGTCGTCAGTGTTTGCTGTACGTTTTCAGCTACATGACGTTGGGTTAAGTGGCCCATATGCCACCGGCGTACTATAGTGTCCGCAACCACCCCCGTACAATACCTTCTGCGGGTAGCAAGCGTGGTCGGTGTGGGAGGTGCGTAGCAGACAGGAACAGTACTTACAAAAAGAAAATGGCGGGCGCCTGCCGAATTTCAGCGCATTTCGATGAAAATTGAACGTAGAATACATTGTTGTGCGCCGTTGCCCCTATTGCCATGGTGTCAGACGTGTATATGCACGCACATACAGTGCTCAGCTTTATTGATGAAGCTTTAACAGTTAACGTGCGAAAGGGTCGCGATGTCCAGCCATTAGGTGGCGTTGCACTCCCAGTTGTTGTTAGCGTTGTTCTGCCGTTAATATCGGATGGTAATGCTGTTGTTGTTGTTGCTGCTGCTGTCTTTTTTATTGTCCTGTTGTGCTGTGTGTCATCACTATTAATCCTGTCTCAGCTCCGGAAGAGCTAATCGCGGTTAGTGGGAAATCCCAGTTTCTTCCGTCGGTTTCCCTCGTGCTCACGAAAGTACACAGTCACATTTTCCTTCTGCCCTTCTCTTTTTTTTTCGTTGTGTCGCAACCAATCACGACCTCTTTCTCTTCTCTCCTCTGGCAGTTACTTAGCCAACTTATCTAAGCTAGTCAGTCTGCTATTAAAAACTTTGTCTGTCTGTCTGTCTGTCTGTCTGTCTGTCTCTCTCTCTGGCTTTCTTGATATGTATATTTGAATCTATCCGATCGTGTCTGACACTGTGCCCGCTCTGTCTGCCCGCGAGTGCCGAATTGTGTCGTCTATCATCTATACGTTAATTGCTGGGAACTTCGTGTCCCACAGAAGAGAGTGTAACCACGTCCCACGTACGTCTAGGCATCTGATCAAAATGCCTGCCAAGCGTTTAGAGTCATCACTCCACGGCTCCGGCACACGCGTGGAGGTCTGCAATTCAGTGAACGTCATCTTGACTAGCGAGTGGCCAGCATATGCATCGAGTTACTAAAAGATCCGACTAAAGCATCCGCTGTAGTAGTCCTTTTCGTAGCTTTTGCAAATGTCAACGTATTAAGCAGCAGTAACAGCAACGGCTAAGCCGGAGATGTTGATTCTGCCAGTGATGGCAGATGCTGACGATGTGAATGTTTCTTGGCTCTGGAAACCCAGCGGATCCAGTTGTGGCCCTAACTGTTTGTCTTGACAATGTTTTTCGCTAGCTGATGATGATATTCCGTGGTGTTTTATAATGGCATGCCAACCTTATCGGGTGGAAAAATTGCCCACTTCGCCTTTGGCCATATTCCAACATTTTGTTAACGTGTTTGGCAACAGTAGTAGCAGCAGCGTCTGCAAAGGTATTAACGGAACCGGGAGCAAGTGGAAGGGGGAACAGACATGCAACAATAATAATACGACGCTGCTTGTCTGTCATAGGTTCAATGATCCGTTAACAAGTTTCTAACAACACTGACTTATGGCATACGTATAGTACATGGTACACATATAAACTTTCGGTTTTTTAATTCATTTGGCACACGCGTACGCGATTCTTTGCGAAGTTGAAGCAAGCTTGACATGCTAAACGTGTAATCCTGCGCTGATCTGCTAGCAGCTATCGCTTCACATCGTATCAGTGTCCTATTCACTCAAGATAAGGCGTTCCATACTCTGTAAATTTATGATCTGGAAGAGAATAGAATTAGCATGCAGTTTCAACGCGTGCCTACATATCGTGCCTCAGCTAAAAATCACGCATGAAAAACTCTTGTAAAAAAAATTAAAATACCCAGTACGACCGTTTTTCATAAAGTTACGTAAGTTTCAATTGAAAACATAGAAAAAAAAACGACGTATTCATTCATGAATTTGCAACACCGATCGTATGGTAGTTGCGAATGCCACTGGCATACCGGGTACATACATTATACAGTGTTCGATTATGCGCCCCATATAACCTTTAGTAAAATGATGTCTAGGTAAAAGGGGCACTTCGTGACAGAAGGAGATAGGTGCATGAAAATGGTAATACCGTCGTTACAATCGATAACATCACACTCAGACGAACAGCTGTTTCGCAGGCGACGGTGGAAAATTGGACCTGTCTGTCTGGTCTGTGGTACAATCGTTCGGTCGGTAGCGGGCGGGAAACAACCCAAACTTGTACCCGGACCCAACACAATGCGTTTCAGTACAATAGACAACGTGGTTTGGCTTCTTGCTGGCATCTATCTATCTATTAGCTCAGCGTCGTGGCGTAGAGGTCGTCGCGTCATAGAAACACTATTCCGTTTCATGAGCTGTCGCGTCAGATTTTAAAAGCTAACTCGCAGTACTACAACGCCGACGACAGAAGCTGAAGTAATTTCAATGCGAGAACTGGCGTCAATAGCCGACGCCCAACTGCTTCGACCATAACTGTTGTTCTTTCCATAAGTATTATAATAGCTTTTACTCGGGTTTGTCGCATCGTCGACTACTAGTGGAGACTCGGTCGGAAAGCAGGGCCACTTTGAACACGGGCTACTTCTGCTGTTACTACGATTGCTCAATGGACACTGCTGCTCACCACTGACCGTTGAACACCGAAGGGGGAAAAGACCTTCGATCGATGGTGGCAACGTGATCCAGTTGCACTGGCCAAATAAACGTGAATCTGGAGTGAAACGGCGTAACAAAGCATTGAGGCAGTAAAGAAAAATGCCGATCGCTTTTGTGCATTCAGTCATTTATGTCTTAGACACACGCTCGCGCCCCAACTTGGACGAAGTGGATTATCGACTTCGGACCGCGCGAGGCCGGGGCAGATGTCTGCCAGTTTTAGAAGCGTATCGTAGTTGAGCAGAGCACGCGCGTTGCAGCTGAGACGACGAGCGCAAGGACAAATGATGCTTAGGCGAATACCTAGATGAATGAGGAGTGACATTCAGCCGTTTTTCCAAGCCATTGTTGACGTGCTGGTAGAAGCCGTTGCTGTTTCTGCTTGTAGTCCGCCGATCCGTGAGTATCGATATTGGCATGTACATAGGAGACCTTTAAAAGGTCGAAGAGTTAAGTATGTCGAGATTAGCTATAGGCACTACAGCGTTTGTTCAGCGATGACTTGCAGCGTCTCTTCGGATTCCCAACGATTTGACCAATAGGCAACTAGGCGTTGACACTAAAACTACCATTGGCCTATGGTTTATTTCTTCGTGGCTATAGTAAAATTGTTGCTCAAATCATGCTTCCTGGGAGCAGAGCTCAATCCTGTTAAAAATTTTGGAGTGAAACATAGGGATCTAAAGCTAGATTGCAGAATAAAATGATTGGTGTCACAATCGTAACTTGTAAGGTAGAAGAAAAGCACTGGCTTATTATGCAGTGCGGCTATCGATTTTCGTTTACGATTTGTTGATTCTGAGACGACGATGTAAACCCATCATGATATCTATCAATTGATCTGGCCCACACTACGATGCAGTAGCAGTGGAAACAAAAGCGATCTAAAATTTGTAGAATTCCTTTCCTTCTTTTCCTTGAGCTTTTCATTCATTTGTAACGGCATGTACTTACGTTAGACGGTTGTTACGTTGTTTTCCATCTTGCTGACCTGCACTGTGTTTTTTCACAGTACATACATACATGCATACATACATACATATATATGTACAATATATGTACATATTAGTGTAGAATAGGATAAACGTGTATGATGATAAGCGCATTATCTGATCAATAGAAAATCACTGTAGCAGTCTTAGAAGTAGCGTTCAACTACAATCCAATAGCGTTTGGTGACTCTTTTGTGTATCCGCAATACCATATAGAAGCCATATAGCTTTATTTAGCCTCATATGATACGCAAATAGACGAGCTTCATTCTGGGCCATATCTATTCGGTACTTTGCCTTTCTCGCGTGGCTTTTTCCCGTGTTTGGTAATGAAGCTAGTGTACGATGTAAGGCGACGCTACTCATCCTGACCACTAGCTGATGATATTTAATTGATAGCAAATTCAATAGTTCTTCTTTTCTATTTTGTATACGTCTCGAAGCTAGATGTATGAACGTCCGTGTCTGTCCTCAGCTTCTGTCTATACAGATAGTTAACGTCACGTTATCATGAGGTGGAAACGATTATATTGTCCCTAGCGTAAGGTTATTGACTTTACTATAATATTATAAAAATAATCACAGAATAGCTCCCCGTCAAGTTCGTCTAAATTACTTGGATGTCTCAGTGACCTCTGAGGTGATGAGGCAGCATAAACATTAGCAGTGCTTCACATACAGAAATCATCTCTAATCATTCTATGTAACTTGTAAGAATATTCGACATCGTAGCTTCACGCTACGCCGCCTTTTTTCTCTACTTTCCATATACATTTATATTACTGCTATATGTATAATTTACTATTTGTAAAAATAATTACTAATAATACTAACAGTAATGCCTATTACCCGGGTTCGTAGCCCGACAGACGTCCGTTTTCATCGAGCCATATTAAATAATCCCACTATAGATAATAGCGTAGTAAAGAAATTTCAGTTTATACCATAAGTGCTACCACTGTTTAATTAGTGAACTAACGGACAGATATCGGTTGCCACTCAGCGAAAACTAAGTGATAAGAGAACAACGCTTCCGTACGACATTTGGACTCATACATGCACATCATTATCTATATTTTCCTATATACAGATATGCAGTATTCGTGTCGACATGTACACTGGTGCGTACGACGCTCACACATATCTGCACACAGCATCAAAGTTTATATTGAAGACGCAAGAAGCAAATAGTTGTTCTTCGAACAATGCCAAACAAATTGCCTCAGGGGCTATATTGCTGGAGTAATCGCTAGAATTTATATCACTATATATATGTATATCTGCAGTGGTACGAACGTATGAATTTGCCTGTATGCAAAACACTCGTCTATACATATATATATATATATACATACGAGTGTTTTGCATATAAGGACTATATATATAGTTCTACGAAGTCGTTAGAAGTACGATGAAAGCGGCTGCATTACACGGTGATCTGTGGCCAATTGTACGGAACGCTGACGTATCTTTGAAGTTGCTGAAGCAAATGTTCGTACGACCCTCACTGATGTATACTGGCAGACGTTAGTTATTTGTACATGTAATAATAGTAACCTTGTAAACGAAGCTAGAGTAGTGTTATTTAGAAAAAAAAAAGCCTATACACGTCCGTTTGGTATCGGCATTTACTTAGAGTTTTCACCGTCTTTAAAAGTGCATTACTAGCTACCAAAGGACTGCCGTTATTTTCAAAGAAGCAACGACTGTCCTCAAGGTACACACTTAATTAATTTAACGGCGTAAGTCAAATAATATGGACGGCTTGTCTATTCTGGCTTAAAGCAAGAACGTAACGAAGTAGGTATTTAGACTATATTGCGAAAAAACAAAGGAATACGACGTATTATTTTGACGTTTCTAAACATTTCAGGCAGATTCTATCATGTATGAGATCCCGTTAATTCGTGAATATAAACTTCCATATATTATTGAGTATTTCTTTGTAATTCTCGTAATGAGGTCTGTTGTCTAAAAGCAGAACAATTAGGCAAGCTCTTTCGACATGTCTTCAACACATACAAGATCTGGCCATCAAAAGCGGCCATTGCACGAATATAGAATGCGCCCTGTGTAATTCTACATACGTGATATAATTTTTATGGGGAAACTAAAAATATTGTTGCATTTGATAGAGATCTTTTCCTGGTGATGTCTCGATGCACGCTTACGTACGTGCCACCGTTAAACGGAATGATGCACCAAGTACGCTAGCCTAAATAGCTCTTTTGATAGAAAGAAACCAAATCTCACAGGATCAATAGACATTTCAAGCTCGACAACTCGGATCCTTATAGAATTGAGCTTTGCGTTTTGCGGCGTCACATAGAAAACAGGAAGTCAGTAGATGAGAGGCGTAGCTCAATAGAAATCGTTATTTATATCTTAGAGACACTCGGAGGACCTTAGTTGGCTGAAAATACAAGTTGATAGAAGATGGCTCTAGTGCGCGTAAAATTACATACATAAAGCTCTCTAGATTTTCAAGTCTGATTCGCTGCTCTGAACAGGACGATCGATTTTTAAATTAGAGAATATTATAGATTTGTTTTATATATATATTCTCTATTCCCGCGAGTATCTATCCAAATAATCTCAATTGAGTACGACTCCGCTTGGCGTCTATCAGAAAAAATAGAAAAGGTCTTAATCCAAGATTTAAACTGGCTCATTGGATCAGTACTAAATTGGATAATTCACAATTGGCCGCCTATATAGGCTAATGAAATAGGCACTAACAGTGCGGCCTGATGAGCCACAATGATGGAGTTGCTATAAAATAGAAGAACAAAAGCACATTTCTCATAGGTACGAAGACTGAAGAATAGACCCCAAGGTCGACGACACCTCAGAAACAGCGACTACCTTCCGATCCGCTGTAGAACTGAATGTAATTTAAGTCAATATAATTTCGCAACAAGTGGATATCTTTGAGCATAGTCGTCTTGCTCCGCTAATAAAAGTTAACTCAGGAAAAATGTTCTTCGTGCTGCTATCGGCATTTATGTATATATCCTGAATTGCCAGTCAACATGCCGGCTTACCAAGGGCATATTTTGTACTTGTTTATTTTCCGCTACTGACAGGTAGTATTTAACAAACGGGTACAATAGCATTTCTTTAAGATCCACATTTATACTGCTCGAGATAGCCTGTCTAACAGGTAAACAGTAAAATGTCTATTTTACACGTGGCCTAAGCATCGAAAAAGCTAAACGCGCGTGATATAGGGAACATAACTGACTATGTGTATTGGCCCCGTGGACCACAAATTACTCTTGCATAACATTTTGTATATACAACACGTATTGTAAAAACTCAAATTTTGACACAATGACCCAGACGGTCAGCTATAGCGCCACTCGCCGTCCTAATAATACTATACACTGTATCATACACGATTGACAAAAGGTATAATATTGGCTGTGACTTCATTACAAGCGTTAGGAGACGATCAAGGAGATCATGCTGACGATGATTCGCTTCGTTCCGTGGCGGGCTAAATTGGCTAAACGTGTCCTGGCTGCAAACCCTTGGGGAGTACTGAATTGCTATCGCCAGTAGTAGGACGTAGATATACTGCTGTGTTATACGGTGAACTATAAACGAAGCTACCGTCATTGATAAGCGATTAACTAGTAGAACGCGGTTTAATAGGAAGCTACACATTATGATACGGCTACGAATTACAGATTCGACAAAGCCATGGGGTTTGAAGGGGGGCCAATATCATTCAGATGGTTTTTCAGTGTACGCCAGAAACGTACCGCCAACCTTCTAGTGAAGTAAAATGTACGTAATAATCATAGTCTCAATGGTTGGGAATTATCGCTTGGAAGTAGACAAACCCCGCATGTATGAACAATGTTTAGGTTTCTAGCCGATGCCAGCCATGGTAATTACAGTAAAGTAACTCGCTTTTTACAAATATATTATAATGATTAATTATAAGCGAAATCGCTACCAAGAGTTACCATGACAAAATGCCACAGGCTCCGATTTCAGTCGCCGTTGTAGGGCGCTGAGCGGTATCTACGACTGAGGTACTCAATCTGACTAATTACTAATTAAATTAATATTAAGACGAGATAATGTACGGACAGATATACACGTTCGACGCTGATGAGGTCGGTGCATTTTCCCGAAATCTAAATCATCTTTTTGATAAGTGGCCTTCGATCGTACTTGCTAGCATCGTGCACAGACAACGGCCACGTAAAAACTTCTTGCTCACAGAGCAGTAGTAATGGACAGTCTAACAATTATTTGTAATAAGTATTGATTATATATACATTTGTAGGGGGAAGGGTATATATATATGTGTAATATGGAAACAAACTTGTGAAACTATACGTCTATGATGTAGCCAATACTGGGTCAGGTTCTTCGCCCTGCTCGGCTCAATGC